TGGCAGATCAAAGCAAGTTCGATATAACGTGGTTTCACCTAAGGTTTGGTCTTTCCCGAACCTTTTACGGTAAGGTTTTTTTGGCTCCCGAGGACAGCATTATATTGGAGTAGAGGTGTATATGGTAATGTTATTAACATGTCAACTTGTAGTTGGGTACACTAAGGTACCTAGACATCACTTCAAGATGCATTGGCTTCAGGGAGATGTGTTAACAGATAGCTTGGATGGTCAATCAACTCAGCCTAAAGTGAAGGGAACTTTTAGAACAGCTGAAAGGAGGAAACAGGAAGTTGAACCAGACCAGACCAAATCACACAAATAAATTTATGATGGAAGGTAAACTATTTTATCAGTACACTAGAACAGGGAATATAAAATCCTCACTCCCAAAGCAGGAAAAAAAACCACTCTTGCCAGGATGTACTAAGTCCAATTTCTGCAGTACTTCAACTTTCATATAAGAAAAGGCAAGTTTCTAGCCTTATGATTCCCCGTGAGAATGGATGCAGTGTGGTTGTCCTGATTCTGCAAAAAGACTGCTTTCTGCTGCTCCTCTGAGCTTTGCCAAGCCACAGCTTGAAATTCAGATTCTGGTCAGTTTCACAGCCACAATTCACCAGAGATTTCTGCAGTATTAACAGAAGTAGTAAAGAAAATCCTGTGTATCTAAGTCAAGTCTTTAATGACCAGGTTGAAAGGAAATAGATCTGCTGAAGATGCATTTTGATGCCATCTCTTTACAGACCAAAACTGAACACCTGCTACTGCTTTACAATGGTGTAAAAGCCTCCCTTATTTCTCTTTCTGGTATTATAAATTGCTTTATACTTACTGCTGAAATATCACTCAAATATCTCACAGGAGAAATTTATAAGGTATCCCATCCTAGTATCCTGGTATTAAACAATCAGCACACATGAAAAGCACACTCAGCCAAGTTGTTTTAAAACTAAACATTCCCACATCATAATTTTAATTAATAAGCCTCATATAGTTGGATACTATTCATAATTATTCCATCTCCAAAATAAAATTATGGGAAAGAATTAAATGAATTAAATTCTCTAGAAGTGCTTCAAGAAGAGTTCATACACCATTCTGTGTAAATTCAGATATCTAAGGCACACTTCCATACATGCTCAACTTTGCGGTCTATAGAATTAAGTATCTAAACTGAGCAGAAGACTAATTTGCATTATAGAGTATTGCAGCCTAACATCTTGATAGCTTCAGCTCCACTGCTGGAACTCAGACCCACAATATGGAATTTATTACATTAGCTTTCAGAGATAAAAAGCAAGATGTTGTTTTTAATATAATAAAACTTGATAATTTCACTACTCAAGTATCCATTTAATAATGTCCAAAATACTTTATCAAGTAAAAGCTTTTATTACATGCATGATCTAAAATGGACCCACTAGAGTATGGTCCAAGAACATTATTGTAAAAGCTGTAATAGTTTCATTTGCAGTTGCCCAGCTTTCAAAATCTTTGCTTTGAAGAACAGGAATATTCTAGTAAGGCTTCTTAAGCAACGAATGCTTACCGCAGTGTATCGCTATCTTGATGTTAATTGCCTGGGAAATCTTTACTTATTTTGGTCAAGCTTGTCATGGACAAACAGTGATAGCTCTGCTAAATGGAAATATTTATTCTCCACTAAATAAGCAAGTAACCCTAAATGATGGATCTATTAGTCATTGCTACTTACTTTCTAGAACTCTAGAATTAGAATAATCCAACAAAGAGCTTGTGTAATTCAAGGTTCAAAGATGTGCAGGAAGTAACTTCAGAATAACCCTGTAGGTTTTCCCACAAGCCACTCAGGGTACACTGCAGCTGGGCAGGGTGATTCCCACAAGCTCTGCTCAAGCTAGAACACTACAAATAGCAGTGTGGACGTTGCAGTACTGGGTGGCTAGTCCAAACCATCACCAAGTCACCCAAGTTTGCCAGCCACTGGCCACCCAATGTCCACTATTTTTAGTACATCAGCTGGACCTGAGCTAGTGCATGTCTGTCTGTCTACCCACACTGGGAATTACACCTACCACCTGCGGTGTAGACTTACATGAACAAGTACCTTTTGGGGGCATTACAGATTAATAAAACTGTTAGACCAAGTCATTATTAAGTGTATCTAAAAGTGCTGAAAATATAAACTTCATTTTTCCAAATTCAAATCTCATGTGCCTTGGAGTTAATAAAAGATATTACCTCAACAACCTTGTCTCTCTAATATCCTGGAACCAATATGGCTACAACACTACTGCAAACAACTGTTTGGAAAGTATTCTTTTTGTTTGATAAACAAAATAATGAACATAACCTAAGAACATAAGAATGGCCGTACTGGGTCAGATCAAAGGTCCAGCCGCCCAGTATCCGGTCTACCGACAGTGGCAAATGACAGGTGCCCCAGAGGGAGTGAACTTAACAGGTAATGATCAAGTGATCTCTCTCCTGCTGTCCATCACCACTCTCAGAGGCTAGGGACACCATTCCTCACCCATCCTGGCTAATAGCCATGAATGGACTTAACTGGATACATTCATGGAGGTTCTCTTTTAAACCCTGTTATAGTCCTAGCCTTCACAACTCCTCAGGAAAGGAGTTCCACAAGTTGACTGGGCGCTGGGTGAAGAAGAACTTCCTTTTATTTGTTTTAAACCTGCTGCCCATTAATTTCATTTGGTGGCCCCTAGTTCTTATATTATGGGAACAAGTAAAAAACTTTTCCTTATTCACTTTCTCCACACCACTCATGATTTTATATATCTCTATCATATCCTCCCCCTTAGTCTCCTCTTTTCCAAGCTGAAAAGTCCTAGCCTCTTTAATCTCTCCTCATATGAGACCCA